TCCTGTTTATCAATTAGGTATAACCTTAACTTCATTCCGAAAAAATTATTTCTGACTTAATTTGATTGGCTAACTTGTACTATTATGCATGGGGGACCGGGTCTAACCTTAATTTAATTGGAAAAGTTTTAAACAGATAATCATTCAACGATTAGTTACTTGACCAACTTTTCGATTAACACATTTCGATTCGTATCACTAATAATATTTCCTTTTGAGCATGGGAAAATTGAAAAAAAAACATGTTCAGGCTTCACAAAATACACCCCAACATTCTCAAAGTAAACTATATTTTTTCTTTTCTCGTATATTGTGAACACAAATTAATTCTCCATTTAACGTCATCTCCCTTTGAATTAAAAAAAATATGAATTAACTCTCTTCCCACCTGAATCTAAAATTGAATTCCAAGCGGTTTAATATTCACAATTTTTTTTTAAAAAAAAACAATATATCTCATGTGATTGAATTTACTTTTATAGCTTTGAAAAAAAGAAACCCGCAACGTCCTGCGACAATTCCAACGGATATTTACGTTTCTCGTTCTTCAAATTTTAAAGGACAATTACAGCGGGCAAAAAAGCTCTTAATGAAAGATGGGTAACTACAAACGAGATTTTCTCAGATATCAAAATCAATTACTATAACTCAATTTTAGCCATCCTTTAATAACAATTCATGGCTTAGGAGCTGCGATTCAAAAATCAATTAATCTAGTGTTAGCTTTGAAAGACTTAACTCATAACCAAATTATTTACAAGGCTACCACCGATACAGTTGAACTAATTGATGATATTATTCCTGAAGACGATGTAAGGATCGCTTTCTTTTTTTTTGTTTCTGAGTAGAGTTGATTTATTCGTAGTATTTTAACAATGTTCTTTTTTTGCATATAGGATAGGGACTTGGAGGTTCAAACTAGAAACAACTCTAGTATACATATCCAAGTATGGCTTAAGGAGGGTATCGAAAAATTTGTGGTAAACAAAAATGATAGTTCTTATAGTACAGTCACCTCTCTTTAACCCGTATGGTAGATTTATTCGGTATAGAGCAAATCCCGGATTATAATGTACTCTCTCTAAACCGAATAGAACAGAAAGTTCGATTTATAAAAATTAGCCAATAGATTTTTGGTCACGTGGTCGCGATTTTTATATTTGTTTATCATTCATATTCATATGCACAATGCTTTAGGAGTTTCGATCGCAAATAATTTGAACTATGCAAAAGAAAAAGTCCATCATTTGACACGAAATAAAAAAAATTAAATTTAATTAATTCGTACATACATGACTAATAGTCATATTGCCCGTAAGATCTAAATCGTAGTAGCAAAATTTCAATATTATGTATAACCTATTGATATTATGTTCTTGGGGCCAGACCAATTTGATTTTCTGTTTAACATAATCACCACCTCCCTCAATTTTTTAAAATTATTTAAACAAATACACATAATATTAAATGGGAACGCCTATTTCCACCATTGAAATTTACTATTTCCTCCATGCTTTTCATATGACTTTCAGTTACATAAGCATGACGAACATATTGACATGAAAAGTTACGTCAAATGGTGGAAATAGTAAATTTTCATGGTGGAAATAGGCGTTCCCTATTAAATAATCAACTTCTCTATTTTTCAAAATCTATATAGATCAATATATATCAAATTAACCAATAAGATTGCAGAATTAATCTGTATCTAATATTTTTTGTTTTTTTTTTACAAGTTATGTTATGTTAAACAAAAATCAAATTGGTCTGGCCCCAAGAACATAATATCAATAGGTTATACATAATATTGAAATTTTGCTACTACGATTTAGATCTTACGGGCAATATGACTATTAGTCATGTATGTACGAATTAATTAAATTTAATTTTTTTTATTTCGTGTCAAATGATGGACTTTTTCTTTTGCATAGTTCAAATTATTTGCGATCGAAACTCCTAAAGCATTGTGCATATGAATATGAATGATAAACAAATATAAAAATCGCGACCACGTGACCAAAAATCTATTGGCTAATTTTTATAAATCGAACTTTCTGTTCTATTCGGTTTAGAGAGAGTACATTATAATCCGGGATTTGCTCTATACCGAATAAATCTACCATACGGGTTAAAGAGAGGTGACTGTACTATAAGAACTATCATTTTTGTTTACCACAAATTTTTCGATACCCTCCTTAAGCCATACTTGGATATGTATACTAGAGTTGTTTCTAGTTTGAACCTCCAAGTCCCTATCCTATATGCAAAAAAAGAACATTGTTAAAATACTACGAATAAATCAACTCTACTCAGAAACAAAAAAAAAGAAAGCGATCCTTACATCGTCTTCAGGAATAATATCATCAATTAGTTCAACTGTATCGGTGGTAGCCTTGTAAATAATTTGGTTATGAGTTAAGTCTTTCAAAGCTAACACTAGATTAATTGATTTTTGAATCGCAGCTCCTAAGCCATGAATTGTTATTAAAGGATGGCTAAAATTGAGTTATAGTAATTGATTTTGATATCTGAGAAAATCTCGTTTGTAGTTACCCATCTTTCATTAAGAGCTTTTTTGCCCGCTGTAATTGTCCTTTAAAATTTGAAGAACGAGAAACGTAAATATCCGTTGGAATTGTCGCAGGACGTTGCGGGTTTCTTTTTTTCAAAGCTATAAAAGTAAATTCAATCACATGAGATATATTGTTTTTTTTTAAAAAAAAATTGTGAATATTAAACCGCTTGGAATTCAATTTTAGATTCAGGTGGGAAGAGAGTTAATTCATATTTTTTTTAATTCAAAGGGAGATGACGTTAAATGGAGAATTAATTTGTGTTCACAATATACGAGAAAAGAAAAAATATAGTTTACTTTGAGAATGTTGGGGTGTATTTTGTGAAGCCTGAACATGTTTTTTTTTCAATTTTCCCATGCTCAAAAGGAAATATTATTAGTGATACGAATCGAAATGTGTTAATCGAAAAGTTGGTCAAGTAACTAATCGTTGAATGATTATCTGTTTAAAACTTTTCCAATTAAATTAAGGTTAGACCCGGTCCCCCATGCATAATAGTACAAGTTAGCCAATCAAATTAAGTCAGAAATAATTTTTTCGGAATGAAGTTAAGGTTATACCTAATTGATAAACAGGA